AGAGTCAGGAAGTCAGAGCATAGGTGAGTGCGCTCTTACCTGTGTGTGTTACCTGTCTGTGTTCCTTGGGAAGGGGTGAAAAGGGGGAAATTAGCTCTTTGTGTGTACTTAAAAAACATTGTAGTAGTTATTCGAATGTGACCTCTGGTTCTGCTGCTGTCCTTTTCAGAGGTTCAGAGCTAGCCTTGTGTCTAAAGATGGCTAGGCTGTGCACAGGAAGCTTGATGCCTGGCCCAGCGGTCACCCCTGAGCCCACTCTGTGTACTCAGGAGGTGTGGGTCCTATTTTAAATGAGATGGTGACGGGACAAGAAAGCCTTTAATGCTGATGTGAGGAGGGCCTGCCTTCTGCTTTAGACTTCAGCTTCATTCTAGGTTGATCCAGATGAGTGGCCAGCAAACTGTGATTCTTTGACTAGATGCGACCCTCGCCCTGAGTCCATGAGGGGCAGCCTTAGAAACTCCCCACGCTCCAGTTTAGTGGAAACTGCTGGCTCCATTCATTTTCCCGGGTCGGTTGCCTTCATGAGGGAAGGTGGGCTGGTTGTGGTGTGGGGGCTACAGTGGCTGTCTTTGTAGATAAAGCCACTTTAAGAAACTCGTTCACCTCCACCCTATATCATCGCCCCCCGCCCCCTCTCATGACGCCTTCATTCTGGTTACGGCATATATAGCAACAACTCTAAACTTGATATTAAATGCTGAACTTCTCTGAACCAAAATTAAGACCAGGTGTGAGAAAAAGAGTCATACCCCCCACCCCACTTCTGAGAAAACATCACTGAGGTCGATCGTAACCATGTGGACCCAGACTGGCAGCAAGATGGAGAAAACATAGCTATTGCCTGCTCAAAGGGAGCACGGCGAGACCAGGGGGGCCTTTTCCCGTTTATCGCTGTCTGCTTTCTTACATGTTTACAGGGTAAGGACTTCAGACAGGACATGAACTTGGGGGCTATCGCAGTTTAATTCGCTGTGTGATCTCAGGTGAATCACTCAACTTTTCTGAGCTTTTTTCTGGGGAAAGGGACTAGAAATATTGGAGTGTGTCCAAACTTGTTTTCTAATGCTGAAAAAGTTGTTTTCCAATGATGGAAAAGTTCCATCATTGGCTCCAGCACTGGGCAAAGCAGACTTGTTCTAGATTTGATGGTGATACCAGAAAGGGGTAAGTTTAATTTTTAACACACACCCCTACCCGATACTTGTGTTTGACCTAGGGAGACCAGTAGTTCTGGCTTGCTTTTGTTTTCATTTTAAACTTTGGAGATAGGAACTTTTGGTCCCTTAGTCCCACCTGTTTTCTTGTGACAGCTCTAGGCATTGTGATGGATTAAGTGCATTGGGGGAAATCATCTAGAGAAAGGGGCAAGAAAATAAAAGTGTTTGTCTGAAGCACCTTCATTGAGGTTGAGGTGGGAAGGGGAGAGAATTTTACTCTTTGCCAAAGAAATCTGGCTGATGCCCTAACTAGTGGCAGCCAGAGGTGTCCGAGGCCCCTGTGGTCTCCCTCCGTGGTCCTTCAGTGTTGTGGAGTATCTCACTGCACAGTGTAAAATTCTGCTTCGGCAGCCTTGGTCTGTGATTATGGGATGGGAAGGGCCAGTGGAAAGAAGGGAAAATAGTTAATCCGGCAATCTTAAAAAAGCAATCATAAAGCTGTAACTGAAAAATAACTTGAAAATGGACATTGCCTCACAGGAGGCTCATGCAGCTATGTTGCGGGCCTTCTCAGCTGCTCCTCACACTTGATGTGACGTTTGGGGGACATCTCACCAGACACTCCTGCTACAGAAGTCCAACAATCGAGAGTGACATTCCCAGTCCCTGTGGCTTAGATTCCTGTTCAACCACTTGAGCTCATGTCTTGATTCATTTGCCATCATTATCCAGCCCTGTGCTGCTACCAGATTCCCTGCTAATCGGAACGATCTACCAGGGTTGCTAGTCATAGAGTTTTGGCTGACCAGAAGTACACTGGAACTCTCTAGCAAGAAAACCCAGCTCTAGTGAGAACGGGAGTGAGAAGGAGCTCAGGGGAAAACTACAGAAAGGGACATGGAGCACACATTCCTGTTAAAAATACAGTATGTGGTAGATATTGCTGAGGCCTGGGATGAGTGGCTAAGCACAAGTCAGCTGGTTCTGTCCTGATGCATTTCAGAAGCTGGAAGGCAGGGGAAGCCCCCAACCTCACCACCACTCCCCTCCAACTCCCACCCTTCCCCACCCGCTCTGGTACAGCAGGAGGAATTGAGCCTTTCCTAAAGGGAAGGGTCTGGATATGCCAGCCAGGGGCCTTCCCCTGGACTTCCCCTAAGGCTCTCTTTCCCCTCTTGAAAGTCCCTGCGAATAATTTCCCCAGGGATTTCTGAGCAGTATTCATATTTTTCCTGAAAAAAAAAAAGGAGGGGGCTCCAAATTCCATGATTCCAGTCCTGGTTTGAAGTGCTTTTGACTCAAGACTCATTTGGGTTCTGGCTCGTGTTCTTCCATTCCCACCACTCACTGGTTTTCCTGCCTGCTCAGGAAGATCAGGAAAAGCAGTTAGAAGCCAAATAGCTAAGGGAAAGTCTCAGCTGAATTCTACATGATTCTCCTTGCTGGCTCACAGCCTTTACAGGCAAGCACAGGTGCGTCAGCCCTCCCCACGACTGCCCCATGTTCCTTCAGCACTTTAAAAAACAATTTTTTTTTTTTAGGCGAGGCAACCCTTGGTTGACCTCACAGATTGCAAGGACCTTGTCAGCTTACAATCTTTTATTTTTTATTTTTTACGTCTACAACACCTGGTCTTCCTACGTGGTCTCCCATCCAAGTATTAACCAGGCCTGACGCTGCTTAGCTTCCGAGATCAGACAGGATCGGGCTTGTTCAGGGTGGCATGGCCGTAGTCCTTCAGCACTCTTTAGAGAGCCCACTGGAGAAGGGATCATGGGTTAACACATACTGACCGCCTTCAGCGCTGTTTTAAACCGTGAAGTTTGACATGCATGTAAAGGTATCTGAAAAGATATGTATAGTTTAAATAACAGTCGCAAAATAGACACCCCACCTCCCTACTACCCAAGTCACAAAAGAGAACATTAGCATTTCCCAAGAAACTCCTCTTTCTTTTTCTGTTTATTTGTTTCACCTTTTTTTTTAAGGCCCAGAGTTTTGATAAAATTGATGGGTCTCAGTTTCTACACCTTTTCAGTGTAAGAGAAGACAAGCTATTCATAGGGATGTGGGTGGGATGAAGGAGAACGTACATGTGCTCTAGGACTCAAGGGGAGGGTCTGGTGGTAGAGCGTGGCTTTACGTGGCCTGGCTTCACCATGAGGCTCCTGGTCTACTTTAGAAGGGATACGTTCAGGCTTGAAGATTCCTGAAATCTCGTGTGGGAGCTGGACCCCTGGGATAGGTTTCACTGGGGGAGGCAGAATTGAGGTAGACCTAGAAACAAAACGGAAAATGAGTTCTTTGACCATAGGCACTGGCTTCGCCCCCAGGTGAGCTCCTGGCCAAACAGGATGAGATATTAAAGAAAGGGTGGACCGTTAATTACCAAACAAGAGGAGCAGGGCTTTCTAAACAGGGGAAGTGAAATGGCAAGTGCTAGGTCCTGTGTAGGGCCAGCATCCTTTTTGACTGGGATGGTCATCGTTCTCCCAGGCCTATAAATGGTCAGGGACAGCGAAGGATGGTGAATTCTGAGATCGCCTGTTTTTAT